TGGCAAGGAGCAGTGAAAGAAGGACACAGCCCTGACAGACCTTGAGGGTAATGAGATGAGTCACTGGTAAATAGGCTGTAATATAAAAAAGACCAGGCAATTTGGATAAAGTGGCAAAAGGCTGTACCAGTGTCCAGATTAATTCCTGTAATGGAGAACTTCCCATCAACACAATGTGGGAACTATCGAGAGAAAGCTGGGGATGGATTACTAGCCATGAAAAAGTGGTTTTCCCTGTGTCCCTAAAAATGAATATATCATAGATGTGTTGCGAAGGGCTTAAGACGAGCTGTGTTATGGGCTAAAATGGCCAGCTTGGCATTAATGCAAGAAAGGAGAACTGCCTTGAAGCCTCCCTCCCAGCAGGTTTCCTGTGCGTGAGCAGAGGGCTCAGGTGGGCTCAGGCCTGGGGAAAGCCAGCGCTGCAATCTTCCCAGCTCTCCCTCCTGCAGGCTCCGGCTGCTTAAAATCAGCTGCCTTCGCTGGCAGCAGGCCAGCTCGCCTCCATGAAGGAACCGGCTCCATATGCGATGCTGCTGACAAAAAACCCCCACTTTCTTCACAAACACCTAAGTCTTTGGCTTTCCTTTTGTTTCTGTTGGCTTTAATCCATTCTTCGTCATGACTGCAATAGCCATGGCATTCCAAGGCTGCCCTTTTCTAGTCTCCACTAAGGACACAAAATGCTAATGGTGCATAGCATAACAAAAATAATTCCCACTTTCCATTTCCAGTGCTGTGTAAATATTGACCATCTTATCTTCACAGCAAAGTGGACAGACAAACATTTGCGCTCTAGTTACTGCCTCCAGCACCTTGAGTTACATGATCCCTGAGACAGAGCTCCATGGATGCTCCTCTGGTCTGTTCTCCTGCTGGTGTGGCCACTCTTCAGCACACTCCGTGCTCATTGCTTTCGCTCTTCCTACAGCGACAGTCACCAGCAACAGCACCAGCAAGCCATCCTCTGGTAGGTCACACAAAATCAAAAAGTCGTCACCATCCTGTTTTTCCCCATCTCTCTCCCTTTTGTACAAGTGAGGGACTACCACTCCTCCTTTCTTTAGTCCTCTGCTCATCTCTTTTTGCTGCACACCAAAATCATGACAGAGTGGGAAGGGTGTTTTTACAATGGTTGCACTGGAATCCACGCTTGGACTGGGGCTCTGCTTTTCTGACCTCAGACATTGCTGCAACATGAAACCTGCTGCTAGACTGGGGGTACTGCTACACTGGAAAGTAGTAACAGGGACCACTTGATAAAAGGTCCTGGTCATCACTTCCACAAGGTGTTTTATCCAAGCACTGACATTTTAGTGAAACTGAAGAAATACATTCAATTTCTCTTAATTCTTTTCTGCAATTTCTGCCTCATACTACTACTGTAGGCTGTTAAATACCTGTTGTGTTTTATTCCAAGGTGACTAAAATAATCGTTTTTCTAGTTACTAAAGTATTTGGAGAGCTTCCAGGATGAAAGTGAATACAGAAATGCCAAACGTTTACTATTCAAACAGATAGCCATCAGTGCTTTATGAACTATCCCATTTACAACCAAAAAATATCATTGTGGTTTCACAAAGGGTCCTGAGAACATTTGCTTTAAATTGAAAGACTCTATTTCTACTATACCAAGAACAGTGTTAATATTGATCCAGGTGCTCGGTGGAGCAATCTAATTTTTTCACTGTGGCACTATTGAAAATCTGCTCTAGTACACTGGTAAAAACTGTATCTTTCAAAGTTACCAACATTTAAAAAGCAAATTGTTACATTTTTCATTAATTAAAAAAGGCTTATACTAGCATTAATGATTCTTTCATTGGAGTGTGTCATTTAGGTAATGGCAGCCTAGCACATTAACTTTCCTTGGCTTTGCCTTGGCCTTTTAACTCCTCCAACTGATTATTACCTAATTTGTAAAGTCTCCCAAATGGGTCATTAGCTCTTAAATACATTTCTCCTGCTGTTTGGTATATACCCTAGAAACAGTAGGCTGTCAGAGAGCTAACCGGTTTGGAAGTAGCTCTTTCTGGGGAAAAAAAAGTTAAAGAAATGCCAAATTAAATTAAGTCTGCAAAATGAATCATGGCTTGAAATATCCCCAATACATGATTAACTAAGACATCACACAGAATGTATTTTTTTCCATAAAGGAGGACTGGCATCAGCGCGTATGCAAGCATATGTGCCCTTGTAAGCACCTGCATCTCCTGCTGCTTCCAATCCATAACACTGCTCGTGCAACCAGGCAGTCATCTAATGTGCTAAACTGGGAAACCAAGGAGAAAGGCTGATGGGACCAGGTCCTGTACTCCTGACATGATGACTTGCCCTCTCCGCCTCCCCAGCTAAGCCTAGAAATCGTGAGCCAAAGACAGAGCAACCTGAGATCACAAGCAAATCAGTAGCACTTGGTCCAAGTATATGAGCTGCCCTGGGCAACACAACGTTCATCGACCAAATTTATGATATTTTCCACTGCCAAGCAAGTAAAGCAAAAGATCATTTGGCCTTTCTCAGCCACAGATTACATCTTCATATTTTTTTCTTACTTTACAATATGATGTAGAGCATGAGACTGAAATAAGTCAGTGTGACTAAGTAAAAACTTTGTACTGACCCACTCATCTGCAAGGTATTCACGTGAAACAGAATAAATGACTACTGGCCGGCAGTATCTGCACTGCAGGAACTTTGAATACAGAGGTGTTGAACAAATTACATGTTTCTACACAAAGAAAATAACACTTAAGGTATAACAGCACTTCAACTTTTTCAACCAAGTTAAAGCAATGCTCCCAAATGCTCCCATTAGTTTATGCACCAACTTCTTCGTTCTTTTCCTTTACTTTTATAAATCTTTCAGACTCCCTCTTCCTCCTTGGCTGTCTCTGTTTTGCTTCTCTTCAGTGTAATCATCACCTCTTTCTGAAAAGAGGCCACTCTGTACTAGTTTTACCTGGTTTGCTGGCAGGGCAACACCTTTATGTTTTATGGCCTAAGCAAGGACAAGAGATGTGGTGTCCTTTGAGATAAAAGTCATTGTCTGGAATGGCCCAATACACAAAGATCTGCAGAACATTAATAACATACTAAAATCAACATCCTCACTAGTGTTTTCATAGCAAACAAATTGCATCTGTCTGTCACTGTGAAATTCTCAATTTCCATAATTTTCCCCTGGAATAAACCACGTATACGCAGGTACTTCGGTGACTGTGACCTTTGTGCAGTACCATCAGAAGGCAACACACAATTGCCAAAGCTGAAAAACAGAGGACTCTGTGATCAAAGACTTTTAGTTATTTTCCAGAAATGCCTTTTCATTTAAGAAATCTACTTTATAACTTGTTCTGACAAATATCACGGCTGAAGAAATTCTTCCTCTAAGGGAAGATTTACGATCCATAGGATAGTTTTCTTTCTCTGTATTTTTCAGGACGCTGGATTCATCAAATACAAACTGCTCTTTGATTTGTGTGTCTGCATGTTCAGCACAAAGAAATGGAATACAAGAATGGGAAAAATGACTCTTTATCTAAAGGTAACTTTCTGGCACAGAAATATCATCTGGTATCAACTGGAAAGTGCTGAGGCACTAACGTAGAATGATGTGGTAGGAACAGATTTCCCACAGAGAAAACTATGCTTATTCTGTTCTTCCCACTGGCCACCACGTTGGCAGGCACATCAATACCACAGCAGATGGTTTTGAGTAGGGACTGCCAAAACACCGTGTACAGAAGGTTGCCCTTCATGGGAGGATTTCAGCTGAGGAACATCCGCCTCTTGAGAGGTCATGGTACCAGCTGAAACATCACAGGGCATAGCTCAGAGCAGAAGTAACTGTAAAGATAACATGTTCAGGACAGAAAGGAGAATACAACTTTCCTTCCTTTGAGAAGGCTCCAAGGAACCAGCAGCAATCCAAACTCATGACACAGCTCAGTTTTCTTCTGACTGGGTTACAAATGCCCAGGTAGCTAATGGGACTGTGACTCAAGGCTGTTTGGCCAAGGGCCACAATACAGATATTCTGAACTTAACAGTGGTGAAAACTGAGGCCGTTTGTGCTTTCAAGCAGGGTTTCAAGATATAACCTCAAGATATATAGGGGTTTCAAGAGGACAACCTTAGTCAGCCTGGAAAGGACAAGAACAATTACAAAATCTCAGCAAGAACAGTCAATAAGATCTTGTTTACACGAAAGCCTCTGAATAACTTTTGTGCTCAAAGTTAAAAGGTTGCTTGAGGTCTTCCCTGAATCAGGACCAAATGCCAAAAAATACCAGACTTAGGGGGTGATAAGAGGTTGTCAGTTGACCTCACTTGGATATGGTACCACCTTTTGCAAGCTTTTTTTTTATTCAGTAATACACTGATATACCTGAAAAGAAGATGACGTCTACACTGAAAAACATCTAAATGTCTTCTGATCTCCAGGAATCAGGGTAATCTGCAGTCTCTCCCTCTGAAACGGACCTGATGCTACAGCTGTTCTGAACTCTAGGTGCTGTAATTTTGTCACTTTCTGATATTTTGACTGTAGCATTCTCAAATGGCTCAACCACCCAACTCAAACTAAGAACTCTCAGTACTTTTAAATCCCTGAAGAGAACCGCTGTCTTTGTGGTTTGCATATAAAACAGAGAAACATGCCAGTCTTACCATAGAAGGACGATGCTTTGGGTAACTGGATGCTCTATTCTGAAGTCAAATAGCTGCTGCTGAATTACAGTTAGCCCCGTAAGTATATGGAACATTTTAAATCATAAAGGCCTGTACTTCGCATAGTAGAGATTAAGTAATTTTACACAATATGTGTGACATGCAAAAGATATTATTGGTGACTTACAGTTTTAAAATGCCCAAGACAACATTCAAAAGTAATCTGATGCTCACAGTCTCTCTGCTCATCTCTTTGGTCAGGCTGAGTATTGTTATTATTGGTAAACAATATGATTTGGTTTTAAAAACAGAGTCTTTATACAATCCAATTGAAGACAAACTATGATCTTTTAATATTTGGTTCGTATTTCTTCTCCCACTTATGAAAAAAATCAAAAGTATCATTGGCTGATAGAAAGGCATTGTAGCATATTCCCAATGTATACAATATTTAAGTCCAAGTAAAAGTAAATAATCTATAAATTAGTGTATTTCACATATAAAAATGCTCTTTTTGTTTACATTTGAGGCCACAAACTAGTCTCAAACTGTTTAAAAGTAGGCACTTAAACCAACCTGCACTTGGCCAAAAATAACATCCATCATTTTTTGGTTATTAAATAACTCCGACAGCACTTCTCTTTGTAATAAGCTTATCAGACCAATATGCACAGCTGATCATTGGGTATTATCAGCCCACAGAAGAAACTGAAAATGGCTTCAGTCTTCCTTGTTCTTCCTTATTTCCCTTATTTCAAGGGAAGGCATAACACTTGAAGACAACAGTTGGAGCTTTCCCCCAGAATAAGACCCAGCAGCTGCTTCTTGTGCTTTTGGAACAGCTGGTTGAACCGTCTGCATCACTTGCACCTTCTTACATGAGCAGACACCCAGTCCCACACACTGTACCAGGCTGCAGCTGAAGGCAAGCACTGATGCTAAGCACTACCCATCAGGCACTAACTTACAGGAACTGTTTCTTTGGTCACGCATTGTTTAATTGTGAGATGTGATGGTCTGGAGTGGACTTCATCCTGACCACGGCAACCCTCCCAAGGTTATTCCAACACCTGGCCATGGGTGTTGATGCAAACCCCATCGTGTTTGTCCCTGAGCTGACAGCATTTGTCCCAACGGTGCTGGCTGTTTCAAGAAGCTGCTGATATCCACGTGAAGCCGTGTAATTATTTCCCTGAATATCCAGGGTAAGGAGGGGGTGGAGGATACTGCATTGAAGTCTGTGGCGTTGGAGTATAAGGTGGAGGTAGGTCAGCTGGGTATTCCATTTCGTATTCATAACTGTATGGTGGTGGGGCCACTGAAATGGGAGAAAAAAGAAGACATAGTTAAAAATCTTTCCTTCAGATGCAGGCCCCCGAATACTTTTTCTGTTGACATTGAGTCCTCCGTATAACAGAGGTAAAGTCTCCTGGCGATGCGCTCACTGTTTTTCAGACTGTCATTATACAGTCACTTTATGTCAATGCAAGACCTTGCTTATTGCCCCCTCCTTCTCTGCTTAGCCATGTGCCCACTGACATACTGTGCTGCTAACAGCGTTTGAGTGGCCATGTGGCAGATGATGTGGCAGACATCACGGCAGGTGATGTGGCAGAGCCAAACCTTTTCAGGGGAGGAAGGTTGGGCTTTTACCAGATCCGTTCCCTTTCACCCTGTTCAGCAGCAACGTGGATTTATGTTGTTTCAAATTAACGGCACATCCAGGGCTTTTGCTGATCTCCACAGACCCCTCAGACCTCTGGATCCCTGGGAGATGTGTGGCATGCCATGCCATGCCAAACACAGCTGAAAGGTCCTCACTGCACAGCAGCATCACACCTTCCAGGGCAACTGCTGGACATCTTCCCAGCATTCAGGCTGAGGAAGAACAAAGCTTTTGCTGTGCTTACTGCGATGGAGATATCTAAGGAGAGCCCTCCATTTGTAAACTGGGTCAGGCATTTAGGAAACAATAAAAATATTCACAAACAGCTGAAAACATTTTCTCAGCTACTTCTAATAACCTTATAGGGGAAGGATTAATTCTGAGATAAAAAAGACAGTAATTGCTGCAGAATCATAGCACGGTAGGAACTGAAGGCTCCATATCAAGACCTCATTAGAGTAGTCTCTACAAATTTTAAGGTCCAGACCGTGCTTCTTCTCTGTTCATGTCATCATGGATGACTTCTTAACCCCTCCCTAGATGTCTCAGGCAGACTGTCAGTGAAATAGCACTTGAATAGAGAGGAAAGAGAAACCTAAGATGTCTGAAAACCAAGCTGCCACTGTGGCTGAGGCAAAGGAAGGGCAGTCCCTCACTTGCCGTTCCTGTCCAAAACAGGCAATGGCATGGGGGAGGGTTGATCACAAACCCTGCAGCCAAAGCCAGGCCAGTCATTACTCCAGAAGCGTTCATGACAGAGGGGAACGCAGAAATAATTTCAAAGCTCCCCCGTCCTCCAAAAACCTGCTGCTGCTGAACGGAAGAGCTACTGGAACTAACGTTTGCACCAGAAGAAACGGGGAGTATGGAGAGTCCAACTCCTGGTGGTGGAGAGATAGAGGTGAGTCATCATGGGAGCAGACTTGGGGAGGAAAAGGCTACAGCCCCGGAGTCTTCATTTTGCTCTCGTTTTTACAGCTTGCAGTGACTATTAGATTCTGAAGTAGCTCTTCAGCAATTCATGGTTGAGAATATTGCAATTTTCTTTCATTACTTTTCTCTCTATGCAAAGCAATGTTTCAATGATAAGGATGATTATAGATGGTTTTAGTTTAACTAGAAAGTAAGAGCACGAGGGAGAAAACAGACACTCAGAGCAGTGAATGCGATAAAGAAACACATAATAAATATTGTATAGCTTGTCTCTAAGTATACATAATGCACCCGGGGTTTGCTGCAACCTTTGCAACAGGAGGGAACATAAAGGCAGGGGATCTCTGAGTGCGGGATGAGGGGACTTCATTCGTGAAACAACATTACCTTTTGTTACAGTGAACTCTCGAGTTATCCCAAGGCAATTGCTTCTGGATTTGTAATTAACAGTGTGTCAAAGACAGGGCTGCACTGCATAAACACTGTTATGCTGTTTCCAGGGTCAGCTTTGCTCTTCAACAACAGGGCCACTTTCACACGGCGGGGAGCCCAGACAGATGAGCCTTGCAGACTCCAGCTGGCTCGGTGCAGATCCACCTTCGGTGCTCCTGTACCCCAGTCCTAGACTGGCATGAGTTGGCAAGTGGGGTGCAGAGAGTGGCTCTGCGCAGGGGTAGCTCAGGTACAGCCCTATGTACCAGCTGTCACTGGCTATGGGCACAACTGCACTGGAGAAGACCCACGAGGGATCCCTACTGTCCCCTGGGGTGCCCCAAAGCCTACGACAGCCTATTAGCTCAACGCCAGATCTGACTTAGGCTCTGTGCCTCCCCTGCCCTGCACCTAAAAGACATCATTACACCAAAACCATGTAAATCCACAGACAAGCCTGCACTGAGCGTGTCCAGCACTAAGCCAGAGCTAACAAGCACTGCCAGATCTCAGCTAACTTTGACCAAGGCACCGTGCTCCAAGTCCCCATCAGTTCAGGCAGGGTGCCAGGCAGATGCAGAGAGCTCGCTCGGGTCCAGCCCCGCACACCAGCCAGCGGTCCCTCCTGGGACACACCGCACAGAACACACTGCAAAGGAGCTTGTGTGCCTTTGTAGAAGTCATCTGGGATCCCACAGCACCCAGCAGGGCTTGTGAGCTCTGGCCGAGTACCAGCCAGCTCGGGCTGCGTTAGGACTCCACATGGCACCACTCGAAGCCTTTGTGCTGTCATCCACAGACCTTATTGTCCCAGTTTTCCCCTCTCTGTGGCACGCCGTGTCGCCGTGATACCGGACAATGAAAGGGAGCTGACTGCACGTGAACAAGAGCAAATACAAGAACCAGAACACAAAGGAAGAACAACTGCTCCGTCGCCAGAGAGCCTCTGGCAGGGAGAGAAGGTCTACCCTGCACAATGCAGCATCTCCCGGCGTGAGGTCCCAATGTGCCAGCGCGGGCACCGCAAGCCACACAGCTGCGTGAGCATGGCACCCCGCCAGATCTCATTAGCCCACTGAGTAGCTTGAATAAATTAGCCCAGGCAGAGTGCTGCAACTGAGGAACACCGGGTGCCCCGAGCTGCCTTTGCGCTCCTCCGCAGGGAGCCGTGCCGGTCCCCTCCGGAGCGAGAGGAGCCAGCTGCTGTAGTCACATCCCCCACCTACTGCGGAGCCCACACTACCCAAAGGTACACTTCTGGCATGGACACAGGCTCTCCTGCAGGGGTGTCATTTCCCTTCCTCACCTGGGTACGCGCTGATGGCGTTGATGTGCGTCGTTCGGATGACCCCTACGCGCGTCCCACGGTTGTTCTTCATGCACATGCAGATACAGATGGCGATCCCGGCGATCACTCCCATTATAAACACGATACCGAAAACAATCCCGGCTATCGCCGTGCCTCTGCAAGGGGAAGGGAAACGGGCAGTCAGTCTCAGCCAAATAACGTTTACAAACCAAAATTCTTTTCTCAGGAACGGCCCCCATCTGAGAAAAAAAAAGTGCATATTGATTACTGAAAATGGCGCAAATTTTGATCCATCAGGGCCTCTGAATAGAAGAAATGAAAGATGGCTAAATTTTCCCATTCCAGAGCCTTCTGAATATAATAATTTTAAATATTATCAAGAATAATTTATTCCCTTTCCTCTCATCACACAAGACTTTTTTTTCATTTTTCCTAAAGGCATCGGTATTATTTTCTTTTGAAAAGAAAGACTAAGTTATCCTCAGTAATATATTCCAGAAGCATCCCGAAGAGCCTGCGTGCTGTGCTTCCACAGGAATGGTTTTGTCATTGTTTTATCTTAGGTCAAAAAGTCCTTCTGCTGTGCTTCTGAGCCCACAGATTAAGGGGAGCCTCCTCTTCTTGAGGATAAGCAGCAAGAAGCGAAGCAAATGCCCACTCTTTTACACATCTGCTGCAGCAGCCAGTGCAAGCACTTGAGGCTTAAACGATTTCTTTTAAAACGGTCCAGAGGAAAGAATTTAGCTCAGCCCCTGAAGTAATGAATCAGACTTTCCTTGACATTATATACAGAAAGCAAAGGAAGCCTTATTGCACTGACACACGGGAGAAAACCCTCACCGAGAGGCACTGAAGAACTCCCCATAATATTGAGGGCAAAATCAGGTTTCCTGATGAACCCTAGTTCACTCAGGTTTGTTGTCAGGCACAGGCAGTGAAGCATATGGTGTATGAAAGATGGTATTTATAGCCTGCCCTTTTTATGAAAAAAACCCAGTGACTTGCCAGAAATATTCTTATTCTGTGCATCTCTTCATCTTCCAGCAAAGATTTCAAGTTACAATCTTGCTGGTAACTTTTTTACTGGACATTTTAATCAATCCAAACTGATAGATTGTCAACGTGAATAAGCTCCACTAGGAATTATTGTGATGCAGGGAATAAAACAGGCACTTCAATACTATGAAGACAAATATTAAAAGGAATCTAAAACACCATTAGGCTTCCCCATACAAGTGTGGCAATAAGTAGCAGGCCTGATTTTCAAAATGCTGCTAGCCTACTGGCTTCCAAAAAGTTACCACAAGGATGGACTCATACTTGAAAAATCAGACGTTCTATTTAGGAACCTAAATATGAATTTAAGAGCTTGTTTTTAGGACCCAACTATTCAGGAACTTGGCCAAGATTTGCAGGACAATTACTGAATTATATAGCATAAGTAAACATAGACAATTTGCTGTCTTACTAAAATACACTGCCAGGGAGCTAAATTGCTCTGTGCTGTTATGTAGCAATGAATGAAATGTGTGCAGGGAGAGCAAATCTGTTAATATTTTGCAGAACAAATAAAGGCCTAATTTATGAAACCTTAACTCATGGCAGAAAGCACCTAGACATAAAACCAGTAGGTCAAAACACTCATGTGATCAAGTGCTTTGGTATTAACCATCATGAGTAACTGGGAAACAACCCTCTCACCTCCCTGCATCCCCCATAGTTTACATCTGAAAAAATGACAGTCTGATGCTCTTGAAAGATGTGACCAAAACCAAACAAACAGTGAATCACTAGCGCTTTTGCTACACCCATTTAGTGGACGAATCACTGTGCCCTTTGCTGGGAGCATTGCATTGCAGAGTCGTAGAGAAGTCTTACGCTGAGATAATCCCTCTCCCAGGTGGAAGAAGCAGAACCAGCCACTGCTGACCACTGGCCTCAGGTCCTGCATTGCATTTCTGCTTTGTACACGGTCCACTGCTGCCCAGCTCCTGAATCCCAGGCTGGGATGCAGGAGCTGATCTGCCCGGCTGATCTGCTCAAATCCCACAAACCACAGCAGTTTCTTGCGCTTCTAACCAGCTCCACCCTAAGAAAAAAACCAACCTCCATCCTAAAGGCTGACAGAGGTGGGTAACAAACAGCACACCTTACCATCCCAGTGCTAAATTAAAAGTTCTATATTAGCAAAGCCCATTATAAACACAGTTTAAATAGTGTTTGTCTCAGCTGTCTCCAAAAGCAAAGGTGTCCCATTTGTTGCAGAAGCGGTCAGCCAGACGCCATTTGTGATGGGTTGCACTCTTCACATGTACTGGTGCCTACCCAACACTCCAGCCTCACTCCCACAGCCCTCTCTCCCCTTCTGCATGAACAGCAGCTGCTCCAAAGCAATACTATTCCGCTAATTTAAATGAAGATTCCGTGACACCTTACATAAAAACCAACAGCGTTCATAAGAAAGGGAAAAGAGATGACAAAAGGTCCAATACCATCTCCAAAAGGAGTTTCCACCTTTACTGACATCACGGAATCATGAAATCACGGAATTATCAGAGTTGGAAGGGACCTCTAGAGATCATCTAGTCCAACTCCCCTGCTAAAGCAGGATTGCCCAGAGCACATCACTCAGGACTGCATCCAGGCGGGTCTTGAAGATCTCCAGAGAAGGGGACTCCACAACCTCCCTGGGCGGCCAGTTCCAGGGCTCCGTCACCCTCACGGTAAAAAGTTCTTCCTCGTATTTGAGTGGGACTTCGTATGTTCCAGCTTGTGCCCGGCGCCCCTCATCCTGTCACTGGGAACCACTGAAAAGAGTCCAGCTCCATCATCCTCCAACCCACCCTTTAGATACTGTTAATAAGATCTCTCCTCAACCTTCTCTGCTCCAAGCTAAAGTGTCTCTCAGCCTTTCCTCGTAAGGGAGATGCTCTAATCCCTTAATCATCTTTGTTGCCCTACGCTGGACTCTCTCCAGTAGTTCCCTGTCCCTCTTGAACTGGGGAGCCCAGAACTGGACGCAGTATTCCAGTTGTGGCCTCACCAGTGCAGAGTAGAGGGGGAAGATATTAAGCAGATACCTATAAACCTGTCAGCTTGCTTTGGGTGACAGAGCTGAGATCTGAGGACTCACTTGCAGTCCCACAGCTTCTCCTAATGCTCCTTTAGTGGTGCTGGCTGACCGGCACTATCTTGCCCCCGCGGCAGGGCAGAACAGCGGCATACCGAGACACAGCTGTAGAAAGCCCATCTGTATCTGCCTGCACCTGAAATTCAAAAAAAGGCTGAAATCTACTGGCAGAACTTATGAGCTGGAAAAGGGGGCTCTCAATCTAAACACGACTACGCTGGAAAGCAAAAAGCACTTCTGCCAGGGTAGCAAACCCAGGTCAGTAAGTAAAATAAGGAATATCTGCGACAGAATGCTATTGCTGGTCTCCAGCACAGCTCCTGATGGTATAGCCATGAACCAGAAACAAAAATGGTTACCAAAGAAAACATTCACCAGCTTAGCTCTGCTGACAAAACTGGTAAGTGCCTGCCTTACTCATGGTTCTGAAATCAGGACAAAAAAGTAGTTTAAGTAGCTAGACCCACCGCTGCTCATGAATTCAGGTTTTCACACTGCAGTGGTAAATTTAGACCACCTATGGATAGTTACGCAAAGAGAGCCTGAGATATGGAGCAAAAAATGTAGGTCACTTTGTAAATCCGGTTACAGCCTGAGTACCAGCAGAAAGGTGCTTGCTGGTCTCAGTGGGCTTCAGATCAGACCCAGTACCACACACGTGAAACTGCTCCAGGAATCGAGTGTTTGAGTTGAAAAGGATCTGTTTGAGAGGACTTCAGGAGATGTACTCTCCCAAATATCTACAGCAGAGTACATATACCACTATTCCACTCTCTGACGGCGAGCCATCCTGATTCGGAGACCTGGAGCCCCTGCCATTCACAACAGCCCCCAGTACAAGGAGGAGTACTGTGCCTCTGGACACCAGGCTGCACCTTCTCACCACCAAATCCTGGCAGGATGACGGTCACGCAGTAGCTGTTCTGGGCACACAGCACAAAAATAAATGCTTGTTCTTTTCGTGGAAAGCCTGTGGTATGACTAGAACGTACGAAGAAAAATAAGCACACACTTTTTATAAAATGGCAAAATTTCTCTTCATGCTACCAGGGAATTTTTGAAAACAAATATCCCATAAATAAATATCCCTTGTTTTATATTAAAAAATGCTTGCTTTGTCTCTCTTTCTCTCACTGATATTTTAGACTTCCATATAGAGATGCAGAGGGATACAGAGATTTTTCACGCTATCATCACTGTAGAGTTGCTCAAGGGAAAGTGCCTAAGAGAAAAAGGACACTGTAAAGCAAAAGAAGACCTAGAAACCACACAGCAGAGCCACACACCAACTCAAAAGTTTGAAATAAAGGGAAAACTTTGAAATGGAACAATTTGAAGAAAAACATTATGCAAAGTCCTTTATAGAAGCAAAACCAATGAAGAGAAAAACTGCCACAGAAAAACAATGCACAGAAAAGGAGGGGGAATAATAACGTTAAAAATGTGGAAATGTCAAGAGAAATTGTCGAGGTAAAAATCAGATATTCAAAGCAGCAGCTCTCCAACTGCTTTTAGCAACATCCCGCTGGAACGAATGCAAATCTCATTCACAGGGTAGCGCTTCTGGCCGAGCAGAGCCCTGGGCAGGGGATGAGGGCTTTGGCTGGGTGGCAGATGTCTGCCAGCCCAGCCTCCTTGCACCTCAGTGCTGCTTCAGCCTCCCCCCAAAACCCTCCCGGCTGAGGCTTGGGCTGCCCTTCATCGCTCACGTTAGCCCTCATGGCTCCACACCTGCACCTCCTCCGTGTTCCAGGACAGCCCCAGCCATTGAATCACAGAATCACAGAATCTTCTAGGTTGGAAGGGACCTCAAAGATCATCTTGTCCAACCCTCAACCTAACTGACAAAAACAGACACCCACACAACAAACAAGGAGCATCATCACTAAACCATATCTCCCAGCACTACATCAACCCGTCTTTTGAACACCTCCAGGGATGGTGCCTCAACCACCTCCCTGGGCAGCCCATTCCAATGGCTGATAACCCTTTCAGTGAAAAAAATTTTTCCTAATATCCAGCCTG